GATATCATTCAACTTACTAAATTATAGTATCGTATTTTCTCTCGTATTCGTCCCCCCTTTTTTTTCTTATACTAAATTTATCGTCCGAAAATGGAGAGGCTAAAATTACGCGAATACTTTAATTTTCCAAGAACGCGGTTACATTAAGAACATAATAAATGTTAAGTAGGCATGCTTAACAGATTAACCATGTCAAGAAGTCACGGGTAACTATCCCATTATTATTTCTTTTAAAATAAACTTACATTCCAATGAGAATACATAGTAATATTAATATTACAATATCTAATAAGATATCTTCATTTTTACTTCCCTGTATCTTGAATCTTGCCATTCTTATTGTTTTCTCTGGTACTCCTTAAGCCTCAAATCATCAAGAAATAATTAAAATAAAGATGAATGTCCAGCTTACTCATCGAAATCATAGACTGTATGTCAGTTAGTGTTTGCTTCGTTTTGATTGGTCGCTTCTTGTGTTAGGCTAGCATAAAGTTGAACAGTTAGAAGGGAAAGGTTCGGCGTGACCTTTGCAGGAAGTTGTGAGAGTTTGCCTTTGTTAGAAAGACGAAAACAATCACAACATAGACGAATCCATTTTTTAAAGGTTAGGGCAGCTCGTTCTTTAGACGCCTTAAGGAAGGGGAAATGAACTAAATATTTTTTTAATTTTCAGAATTTGGCGTTAAAAAGTTACTTGAAAAAAACACGAGTACTGTTCTATATACAATACATTTACACTTACACATAAAAAACCATTAATACGTATTTTTATTTCCATGAATAAAGATTACACAGACCAAAAACCAAACACAGTTTTATTACAGTGAGGGGAAAAATGTGGTTCTTGTGCATTTTATGATACGATTTCGAGTACAAACTCAGAATACCATTTTGTAAGAGGATTTTCCCATGACGCTATTGTTCGATTTTAGGGGTCAGTTTAGCTGGATCTTAAAGCTCAGAAGAAAGAAATTCTGATACCATATGCATCAAGAGAATTGCGATTTAGTGATTAGTTGATTTAGTCAATAAATGCGATTTAGTGATTTGACAAAATATTGGGGTTAGATACTAGAGTCAGGATTAAATGGATGGAATATCGTAGAAAAAGATACAAGTGTATTTAGTTTTTATCAAACGCAATACGAATTTGAATATTTATTTTTTAAAAAACAATGCTCTTGTATATTCCAATGATGATTGGTTCTCAAATTTCATGCGAGCCGAATGCAGGATCTGAAAGCAGCTGGCGGACCGAAATTTGCTTTTTATCAAACTGAAACGGTTTTTCAACAAAAATAAATTTTATTTATTAAATATTTACCAAAGCATACATAAACAGTAACATCTGGTTGAAAGGAAAGTTTTCCGCCAAAAAACATTCTTAATAAAGCTAAGGATAAAAATAAAAAAAAAAAACCATCAAAGCAGTACCTTTAGTGCTGGTAGTAATCACTACCCAATTCTGTCAACGTTTTGGTAGTTTTTCAAAGCCTTCAGCAAAAAAAACTTGTTGCCCGCGAGTCCAAAAACAGATCAACCTCAGTTTGGACGTCCTGTGCAGAATGGAAGATAGCACCGACAAGATGTAGCTGCAGGTGTCACAAAAGGTATATGTCCGAAGAAACGATGTCGGGGCTATACGGTGTGGCTAAAGATCCCATTCGAGTCCGTGCAGAGTCCAGCTGGTTAATGCAGACACGTGTGGTCTTGCATTATCTTGATGGAGCATTACCTTTTTGAGGCAGAACTCAGTTCGACGTTTTGCCTTGATAACTGCGTCAACACAGACTAGCAACTCACTGTACACCTTACTGTCGAGTTTTACCTATTCACAGATACCCTTTGAGGATAATACCACGACAATCCTACCAGATAACAAGGCATGATCTTTTTGTTAGTCAAATTTCGCTCTCGACGGGCTCACCGGGCGCAGACCAAACCCCCTCCTTTTCGGCATGTGTTGTTAAAGTAAATCTACTTGTCATCACAAGTGACGATCCGGTCAAGAACTTTGTCCCTGCGTTGATATTCGAGCAGATTAGTGTAGGCCCGAACACGTCTGTCCGTATCTACTTGAGTCAGCTCATGCGGCACACAGTGATTGAACTTGTAGTACGTCAAATTTACGCGCTGCATAGCGCGACTAATGAACTTGGCACTAACGTCTCGAGATGGCAAGATCTCGAGTGGTTGCATACTGATCTCCTTCCACAAAATCTCGCAAGCTGGCCCCCATCAACATCAGCAGGCCGAGCAGAGCGCTCTGCTTCTTAAATGTCATAAGTTCTTGTTCTTGAACTTTCGGTATCAAACCTTCACAGTATCATATGATACAACCTAAAGCTGATACATGATTTGGTGACATTCTGTAGCTAACGTTTTGCTATAGAACTGAAAGTCAATGATAGTTCTAATCTGGTAGCGTGATGGTTCCACTTCAGACACATTGCGCTTAATGATAACGACATTTTTTGCCTATTTCACAACGCAGTATTCTAAAGAAAGTTTCTTTCTTTCAAATGCCAAAAATCGTTTGAAAAAAAAAAAGTCTTTTTAAAAGGGCTTTATAAAAGGATCTTCAGAGGGCTTTATAAAAGGAGAGAGAAAATTGAGCCAACGGGATACTCCGGATAATAGTAAATCAATAAAAAATTAATTTTTTAATCAGTTACGAATTCAATATTTTAGCAAATAAATACCGATTTAAATAAATTGATCTCAAGGGGTACTTTTCTGTTAACGGGGAGCCACTTAGCCCTAAACATAAACTTGCCACGAAATCTAAGATGCCTTCAACCCTAACGATAACATAAAGCTTCAGCAAAAGAACAACTATTTTACACATAATATAATTTATATAATGTTTAATGCGCGTTTTTGAACTTGTGTAATTCTCTGATGCTTTTTCAAACGAAAACAGATCACTGTGTACAGGGGGGAAATAAAACTGCTATTCTTCTTATGTACATAATAATCTCTTTTCACTTAAAAAAAAAAAAAAAAAAAAAATCAGAAAATTGCACAAATTCGGCATCCAGCACAGCTTTTGGCATTAAGCAGATTAAAAATCATGTATATTTATATCATGACGCAGCTGCCCATGACGCAATATAAATAGATTACCACACTTGGCGCTTTGACGCTCTGTTCACAGAAAAGTGGTTTTTTTTTTTTTTTTTTTTTTTTTTTTTAACTAAGAGACTGATGAAAGCAAAACAGCACTTTTAAGGGAGATAAAAACAAAAGTTTCTCCCTTTTTTACCCGGGAAACGAGACCTGTAATGCATGGCAAATTAACAATGACACGCATATAATTAAATTTTCAAATCGGTACATTTTACATTTATAAATACATTAAAATCTTTTATTTCAATTAATTATTAAAAATCTTATTAAACTTTTTTTTCTTTCTTTCATTTTTGTAATATATATATATGAAGGTATCAGCCATCATTTTAGCTTAATAGTATTTTGATTTATTTATTAAAATTTAAAAAAAAGTAAATAAATAAATATGCTTGAAATTCTGAACAAATGGATGAGAAAAAAAGTATTAAGTTTTATTTCTCATTTTAAAGTAGACAGAAATGATTTCGATAATATATTTTTTACAATAAATAAAAAGGTGGAAAATGCTGTAGATATAGAAATATTTAAAGACCTTCTTGCAATAAATCAATTTTTTAAATATAGGTTTTATCTCATATTTTAAATGTCTAAATCATAATGAAACGCATAATTAAGAGCATAAAACCGAATGTTGAAGCAAATTATTTAATCAAAAACATACACATAAGAAAATTGTTGAAAGGGATTTAATTCAAAGTTCATAATTTCAAAGGAATAAAATAAGACTTTTTTTTTTTAAATTTTGGGGGAAGAAATTCTACTTAGCATATTAATTACTCAAGTCTTATCATCAAAATTAGATTTAACGCAAATAACAAAATTATAAATATTAAATCTCTTTAAAAATAAAAAAAGAAATAAAACGAAAGCAATAGATAATCAATAAATTCAATAAATTTATGAAACTCGGGAAGAAAACAATGAAACAGGAAATCCATCAATGTCGCCTTTAAAAAAAAAAAAAAAAAAAAAAAAAAAAAAAAAAGGCTATTTTTTTGCGGCGGGGGGGGGGTAATTGTGGTACTGTTCCGTTATCAGGACCGGGTCTCCAGAAATATATGTATGTATACATGAACGTATAGGTGTGTGTGTTCATGTGTGCATGTATTATATGTACATACATATGTATATGTGTGTGTCCACACATATCGCGCACATACATACGTACACTCCTGAATCCGGATCTGATAACATAAAAGTATTTTCTTTGGTGCAAAAATTAAACAGGAAAACAGAAACAATTTTCTATGGTAACTGATATAATAATTTGTAAGCATATCAAAATCGGCGCCTACACATTTTGCAAATCTCCTGCATAATAAATTGGCAAAGAAAGGGAAACTATCTCCGGGTCTTCTTGCACACAGAAAACTCTTAGACTGTTTTTGCTGGAAAATTTAAAAAAAAAAAAAAAAAAATCGATGACATTACTTCCAGACATATATATATTACCTTGATAACTAAAATTTGTTTGAGAGCAACAGAAATTTTTTTTACAGGAGTGTTTGTAAAATAATAAAAAATAAAATGGTCAGGGTAAGAGTGAAACAAAACGGAGCACAAAAATCCTTAAACATGAAGAAACATAACTTAACTATTTAAATGCTGAACTCGTTAAAAGAAACTCAATTAACAGTTTTCCTCTAAATGCAACTCGCACAAACTATGCGAAGTTATCACTCGATTTTCACTGTATAGCCTTGAAAATGAGGGAATTAGATTATGTTTAGCATTATTATAAATGTTGGAAACCATGTATTATTAATAAAGGTACCTCACAGTTAAATCAATCGAAGTTGCAAGTGAAATGTCTCCGATTGAGCAATTAAAGGATTAAAATTTTCAAATAAACTTCATGAATGACTTACGCTTAGCAGCTGCAAGCAAATCTTTAACTTCTTTAATTAGTACTTTGATTGACTGGCTGGTTCTTTCCAATTCTTTTTCGTGAGCATGCAGATTTTCACGAAAATACGGACTGTTGGTAAGACAGTCCGTAAATTCCAAGGGTAGTAATCCCATCGTCAAATGTAATCAGATTTCCCTTTTGCGCGCAGGGATGAACAAAAGTAAGTGCTTCTAAAGTGCACTATTCTAACTATTTTAAGTAAAGAAGTACATCATAAAAATGTCAGAAAATTGTTTATGTCTTCAAAACTCATGCCTATTCAATCAACCGCAGGGCGTTGCAAACTCGCATCTCACCTCCTCTACCGCGATTAATGCTATGACGGAAATGTTAGTGAACCCTGCAATTTCAATAAACACCGTTAGATGGCGCTAGTTTCAGCATCATGTGACTGCTGAGTTTCCGGTTCCTATTGCCATGAAAGTTGGTTGCTTATGTAAGTACTAAATCTCATTCGTATTTTTTTGTATTAAATTTGATTCTTTTGCTTAATAATGGTTCTGTCAGTTCTAAATAATATTGTATCTTCTATTGTAATTGGATTTTTTACAGATGACTTTTCGAAATTTGACCTCTGTCGTCAATGCAATCTAGTTACCTGTATATAAAAATTTACATTTAGGAAAAGCAAGAATGATTTCAATAAAGTCTTTAAAAACACGTTTTAGAATATGAGTTTTCTCTTGCCTTGGTTTTAATACAAAATTCATGCCATTATATTGATCTAATATTTTATAACTCAGATTTCGTACATTAGCAATTTAAAAATATTATAAACTTGAAAGCTTTGCGAGTAAAATTGTATGTAATATGATCGTGTGTAATTCTGAACTTTGTATATAATTACATAAAGATAGCTTATCTACAGAAAAGTTTTTTTCGTTCCAGTATGGAAATTATAGCTTCTCCAAAGAAGTATTAATGAGAGATTTAATTCTGTTTATTAGAGAGTTGCAGCATTATGATTCCATCCTGTTGGTTATAATTTCATTACGTGTGTTCATGTCTTTTCCTCATATCTCAGTAACTCTAATTTTCATGTTTCTGGTTCTTTGATTTAAGAGAATCACCATTTAAGCTGAATATAATTATTAGCTTGAGTTCATTGAAATGTTATGAATAAATAATATTTTAATGAGCTCAAGCTAATTTCAGAAAAACTACACCAACTAATATATAAATAAATTGGAATAGTTTTCCAGAAATTCATATGCCTATTAGTGGTCAAGAGAGTGAAACCATTGGATATTGGTACTTTGATGTGGGTTTGAGTGACCTAGTGATTAGGCTGTCTGCATGAGCATTTCAGTGGTTTTTCTGCATGAGTAATGTGAATACAAGCCTTGTTTCTCTCAGACAGTCTTCCTCAAAGGTATCATTGCTATTAACAGATAGCCATCATGCACCCAATTTTTTTTTTAACTTATATTGATTATCAAGTGTGCTCAAGTAGGTCTTGTGTAATTTTAAAAACTTGACTGAAGTTTTTATTAATTCTGTCTCTTGAAATATAGGCAAATTTTTCTTTCATTTACATCATTGAAACTAGTACATGCACTAATATGAGTGACTATTTATTAGGTGTAAGTATTATTCTTTAGTTTTATTTTATAAAATAATCATATATTGTTAGTGATCCATATTTTTTGCAATGTCACTTCAAGTTTTTAAATACTGAGCTTCACATTTTGAGAACTTTTTTTAGATTTTTTTTATGCTTAGTAAGTTTTAAAGATCCTGAGTAGCTATTCAAATTTTTTACAATACATTTAAGGATGTATATTGTTCTTGTGATGATATGATTTTTTAATCTCTGTATGCTATCATGTAACATAAGACAGTGATCTCAAACTGGCTGCTTGAAGCAATTTTATAAGGCCCATGAAGACATTTCAATTATATAGTTGTTGCAAATACAATATCGCATAGATTTCAAGATTTTAGTTGTTTGAAGTCTGAATTTATATTATATTCATTTCCATTAAATGAACATGAATAATGTGCTGGAAAATCTTCAAGTGGAGCTAATTAATTTATTATTGGATATAAATTGTAATCAGATTTGATGAAACAGATTATATTAACTTTTATTCGTACTTGGTTTCAAAAGATAAATAAGCTCAACTGTGAATTTTTGTACTAAGAAAACATGTTTGGAAACATATTTATGTGTGAACAGTTTTTATATACGTGTCAAAAAAATTTCATAAATAAAAAAGAGACTAAATTGTTTATATCTGCTTGCAAGTTTATGTATGTTTTAATAAATATTCACTAAGCAAAATTTAAAATATTTGTCATTTTATTAATCATATTTTTCATTTTGATTAAAAATATCTGACCCATCAGCTGTTTTCAGATTGTGCACTCAACTTGCATGCAATTCGAGTAAGACATGTAGAAATTATAATCTTTTATGCATGAAAGCTGTTCCAAAAGTTCATAGACTGGCAACATTGCCATTTTTGGGAAGCAATTCGATGAGTGTTGCTCATGAAGATATTCTGTATTGTGCCTTGTTAATGAGAGAAAAGTTAATGAGCCATTGTCATTTATTTGCTCAGTATAAAAGCTGAACTCCAAGCGAAGTCTTCATTGATTAATTATTATATAAACATTATTTATTAAATTTTGTGTAAGTTATGCAAAAGTATGTAAAATTCGAGGTTAACAAACTAGTGTACGGTGAAGAAGGAACTGGCAGAGTTACCATATTCTAGTGACAGAAACATTTTAAGGGACTAAATGTATGTGTAGGATGCAGGGCTTAATTTCTAAAATCAGAAGTGCCTGAGCTCCTATGGAAGGCCATCAGGAAGAAGAGAAAAAATAAATAAAATAACAAAGAAGGAAAAAAAAATACCTGAAAGTTTTCAGATTTTATATTATGCCCAAACGACATTCTTTTCATTTACATACACATACACATTTCGAGAGCATTTGGACCAACACTGTATTATGCTAAAAATATTTAAAAACAGTGTATCTTTAGAATTTCAGATAGAAAATCTCTCATGCTGGAGATAAAAATGTTTTATTCCCTGCAGTGTTGCCACTGCTTTTAAGAAAGCTTATTTATTTTTACTTTATTTTTTAATTTAAATTTTTGAATAATTCATATTTGTGAGCTAATGAGCTAAATAAATTATGGTGTACTCTTAACATCATTTCTTTTTGTAAGATTCTCTGTCATGCTGTCTATCTGTTAGTCTGTAACTTAATCAGTCATTTATTCATTTCTTAAAAATAGCAAAAAATAATACTAATGACAAAGAAACCTTAGATTGGTACAAATTTCATATAAAATTTTACATAAAGTCTGCTTGTCTAGGGTATCTCTCTTTAAACTTATATTTTGCCTGTTTCCTTTTAATTCTGTAGTTTACATGACATACTTCTTTTCTCAATAGTGTTATTTATTTGTTTCTGATACATTCCTGAATAAAAGAAACTCTCAGAAAAATCTAATCTCCTAAAGCAGCAGCTGCAATGGCTCTTTGTTGACCTAAAACAGAGAAATGGAAAAGAGAGGGAGGGACACTTCATAATTCTTTGCAGAAAAAAATTCTCTTACGTGTTTTCCACCTTGGTACCCTATAATCATGTGCTTATATTGCTTAATTATTAATCTAGCCCTGGTAGGCAGATAGCTCTCGAGTGCTTTTCCGTAATTAAATAAACCAAACCAAACCTAATGCAGCCCTGACTAAAATTATCATCAATGAAAAACCATTGATCTCACCCCCATTTTTCTTGGAGTACTGTAAATTATGGGAACTGGGGGCTTAGAAATATGTTTTTTTCATAGGGATCCATGAACTTTACTTCTGCCATTGTAGGAATCGTACTGCAGCATTAGGGTCTGGAAAAACAAAGATAATATGCTTACATCTTGCAAGGAAGGGTTTACAAAAATATACTTGAATTCCTTCGTAAGAATATTTTCTGTACCTAAATATATGAGGTGTGGCTATTAATTTCCAGGACTGCTCTAATAACATCAGAACAGATGATGTGAAAAACGTAACCTTTTAATATGCTTCGAAGTGATCCCCATCTGCTGTAATACACTTCTGTGCTCGGCTGTATAAGTTACGGAAAAAACTTTTAAAGTCCTCTTTCGGAAGGCTCTTCAATGTTGACGTCATGTTGCATAACAACGCCTGCCTCCACATTGTGTTGCCACTGAAGAGGTTTTTGGCCAAGCATGAGGTTCTGGAGTTGCATCATCCGCCATACTCTCCTGGCATGGCTTGGCCCCCGCAGACTTGTTTCCGAAACTCAAAACTGTGATCAAAACAATACACTTGTGGATGTTGAAGACGTCAAGAAGAATGTGACGTTGTTTTTTAAGAACCTTCTGAAAGAAGACTTTAAAAGTTGTTTCCGCAACTTATATAGCCAAGCACAGAAGTGTTGTCTCATTCTTGCCACTAGATGGCGGGCATTCTTCCTTTCTTTTTCTCTAATTGAGATCTGGGAAGGAGACTAGATTCGAACTGCTCAGAGGAGCGTAGAAACGAATTTCTGATTTAGAAAACAATTAAAATGTACTGTCTTAAATAAATTATCAACTATCATGTAAATACTGTAATTATAAAGATGTGTGTAAATAAAAAGTCATTAAGACTTAATTGAAGTTGTAATTTGAATTGAATATAAATGCCGAAATAGCTCTCCCATATGAAGCCTATAGATTATAGAATCAACAAGTGTATTACGACACATGGGGATTACTACGAAACATATTAAAAGGTAACGTTTTTCACATCATCTCTTCTGGTGTTATTATAGCAGTTTTGGAAATTAATAACCACAGCTTTTAGTTGCTTTCTTAAGACTAGAACCATCTTTTCTGTGGTGGTCCACTCAGGAATGGCAGGGACTCATAATGTTACTGTCAAGTCTGACATGAGCTGTGAGATAGCTAGATGTTTTTTTTAGATAACTTTTAGGGAGTAGGAATTATATATCTACGTATGGCTTGCTCGACGGTCTGGGTTGCATTATCCTTCACTCTGGTGCACTGCACCAAATAATGCCAAACCATATATGAAATGACAGTCTATGAAATCTTTAGAGAAAATAAGTAGATAGTGTCTGGAATTCCTTTATACAATTCACGTTGTAGCCTGCTACTTCTGTGCTTTTCCAACATCTAAGAAATAGGAAAGAAAAATTTTGAAATGGGCTTGAAAATATAATCTGTGACATCCACTGTTTTATGCTTACTCTTAGAAAATGATATGAGAAATTGGTGCATCTGTAGAATTACCACAAAGAATATGAAGGTAATTATTTCAAAAACAAGACCTATGTAAAACCTAAATACAATTCGGATTTCAAATAGTGATCTCTCTCCGTCCATGAACTTTTAATGCAGTCAATGTATAATTATTTTCTTGAATATAACTGTAATTTTGCAATGCATTACCACTAATATTTTATTTCTTAATATATTTGCATTGTTAGAAATTAACAAAATGCCAAAGAAAAAGACAGGACAAAGAAAGAAAGCAGAAAAGCAGCGTCTGCGGCAAAAGGAGATTAGGACTGCATTTTATCAAAAACCATTAGCTGAACATCCTTGCAATGCAGCCATGGTAAAATATTTTAATTATTTAAGTTCTCAGTTATGTATTATATTGGCAAGCAACAATTTTCTAAAACTTTTTTTTCAGGGATAGAATAATTTAATTTTTTAAAGATAACTAATAAAATTAAAGTTGATGCTGAATTTAAATCTTAGTGCTATTTAAATGTTGTAACTCAGTTTTTAAATGATTCATCGTATTCCTATGTATTTTATATTATTTTCTCATTTCCTGTGTTGCACAGCTGTTAAGATAACAAATCAATGTGACATTATTGTCGCCAAAAGATATTATTAACAATTACTAACATTATTTTATTGCTTTCTTATCCTAAAGCTGTTAATAAATCGCAACCCTTAGGATCTCAGAGTTATATCATTTAAACTCTCATATCTGCATAAGAGTATAATTATAGAATGGTATAGTAGTTAGTGAAATATATTTATAATTGAAGTGTTATTTATGTGTTAAGTGTTGTTTATAATTTAAGAGTAACCTAGAATATGTAGATGAACTAATTAAAAAAAATTCTTTTGTGGATATAATAGAATACATCTCAGAAATATGAAACTATATGGATGGTGATATAATAAATAATTGCTTTAAGGAAATAGTGAATTTTACTCGTGATTGAAAACGAAATCCTAGAGTTAGATCATAACTTAAATATTGACATAGATATGAATTTGAGGAAAAGCTTCAAATTAAAACCAAATACTAGAAGGATATTTTTACTTTGTTGCCATGTCTAAAGAAGCAAAAGAAACTCATAAAAGAAAGTATCAAAGTTTGGGCAGTGTTTTTAGATGAAGTTCAAATTATTTTTCACAAGGAATTGTCAAGCCAAACAACGAATAAAACAAGTCAATTAATTAGACTTCATTAAATTAATATAGCAGTAAGTGATTTCCCAGTTCCTGCAAAAAATTAGTCACCAGCTGATTTGTAAATACTCTGGGTAAAAGTTATTTATTGGGTGCAAGCTGGCAATTTTGGTGACTTGAAAAAGTTCTTCAAATCATCAATATTATTCTAAGTCATCAAACATTATTAATTATCAGTTTTAAATACAAATTTTAATTTTCAAATAAGGATTATAAGGTGCATTAAAAAATAAAACACTTGCCCTTTATGAGAAAGTCTTTTTTTTTTCTTTTTTTTTCCCGCCATTGTTCTCTCTGTACAGACAGTGATCTTTTTTCTTTTAAAAAAAATTTAGAGTTCTTCAAACTTGTCATTGCACACTGATGTCCAAGGCATGTTAACACTTCTTTGCAGGTGGGGGGAATGATTATGTGCTCTGTTCACCTCCACCGAAAAGACTTAAATAATTTTGCTGACTTTAAAGAGCATTTGGGAATCAGCTGGTGACTAATTTTTCATCAAAGGCAAGAGCCACTTTAAAAAATGGCAGCATACTAAGAATTCTGTAAAAGGACAACCAATCAATAAAATTAAAAAAGCAAGGAACATCTGTATAAAGCAATTTTTCAAGGTATCCTTCTGTAATTTTTTTGCTGTGCTGTTCGATCTGTTTTCACTTAAAAAAAATGTTAGTGAATTGTACATACTTGACATCTGTACAACATCACCATTACACGCTCGACAAAACATAGTTATGTTATGCACATACCTGGGTGGCCACGTAAATACTTTCAAGTGAACTACTGCTTTGTCTCATAAATACTTTTTGCAGCTCTCCAGTAGGGATACAGATAATCGGAAAGTACTCAAACATATCTCATATCAATGTTTTTATTGTATTGTTTTATTTTGTTGATCAGTTCCATTTCTTATCTCAAATCAATCTGTCATGTCTCTTATTTATGTGTATAATTTTTTTCTTTTATATTCTAGGAATGTGACAAATGCAATAGGTATGTCCAAAATATATATTTCATATAAAATATATAAGCAGAGATAATAATAATTTCTTACTGTTTGCTTATTGTAATTTTAGGAAACAGAAAAACAGGGCATTTTGTTATTTTTGTTCTGCGGTTCAAAGAATTCCAATGTGCTGCCAATGTGGTGAGTAGTAATATGATTCATTTAATGAAATGAAAAATTAAGGAAATACTAACATCTTTGCTACTTTCATCCATATTAAAAAAAGTGATCTGAGCTTCAGTAATGCTGAAAATTTCACTAAAATATGCAGTTAAAAATATTGGTGAATCTTTACATTATGGTAACTTGGCGATTTTTTGGCGAAAATTTGGCGACCACCATTTGCTACAGACTGCTAGTTTGTGGACCCATTTGTTTCACGAAGTAAGGCATGTTCTTTTTTATTCAATTTTCTAACAATTGCTAGCCGAATTACGCTTATATTAGAACTTTTATAGAACAAAAATGCTTAATCAGACGAAGATTAGGTACGAAATAGAGAAAGGCAGAATCGCAAACTGCTTGCCGCGTTTTTAAAATTGCACATACACGGTATCATGACACGTGCTTTTCATTAAAAAAAACCCAGAATTGCACAAAAATGGCATTGCGCAACGTTGATTTATTACACAATCGACCCTTGTGGAAACACTTGTCGATGTGTAACGATTATGTAACTGACCTATTTTACTTTAAAAGCAACAGAAAATTGACAAAACCAATTCTTCTTATCTTGTAAAAGCGTCAAACAAAAAGTGGCGATTCTGCACTTTGAGCGAAATGTTTCTAGTCCTATTAGCTCAAAATTCATGATCGAATTTCCGGAAAATGTCACATGACATGTCTCATTTCTCTGAGACAAAATAATCTGTGATTCGAACAGTGTACTTCTCAGATTATTGCTAAAGTCCTAGCTAGTAACCTTTATCGCCTAACCAAAATGTCACCAAACTACCTGTTACCATATTCTAAAGATTAGCCAAAGTATTAAATATTAGCTCTAGATTATTTTATACAAGTTAATAAAAAGTATAAAAAAAAAAACCAAGTAATGTTTTATGAAAGTGGATAATATCTGACATTTGAAAATATCATGTGTTACTGACAAAAATTTAAAATTATCAGTTTGATTTTGTTCCTAATTAATGACAGCTGATAATTTGCAATGTAACCAGTCTTCTTTAACCTCACCAGTCTGTTCCCACTCACTTGAACATACAATTCCAGTACATGTGGATGATGGAGAATTGCTCTCCATCATTAAAACCTCACTCTTATTAGTCTATCTTGAATCTCTTTACTTAGAACACTGTCAAAGCTAGAGATTTCTCTGATTTAACTTTTCGTTGGGTAATTATTATTATTTGTTTGCTATTAATAAATCATTAAAAAAACTAGACATTTCATTTTTCTGAACTAAACAGATAACAGTTTTCATCATGACTTCACTAATAATTTGCAACTTTAAAGCATTAAATAAATTAAAACAAGAGTTTGGAGTGTTGTAGTTCATAAAGTGCATCAGTGAACACTCACTGTCCCTGACTTATGTGCAGGGCTGGCACAAGTGTTTCCACAAGGGACAGGAATCTTTGAAAGATAATCCATGATCTGCTCAAAGTCACCTCGTCATTATGGATGCTTTGGTGAATGAAATTGACCAGATCATCCATGTAAACAAACGATGCACAATAAAAGGACATCAGCTAGGAGGTGAGTGTGAGTTTCAGTTCTGTTTGTGCCTGTATGGAGAAACTGAGTGTAAAATGGATGTCACATAATCTCACAGACAATCAGAGGTGGCATTGTATGGGATTCTCCTTGCGACATCTTCTCTGATAATTGTGCTGAGGGCTATTTTTTGGACAGAGTTGTGGCGGGTGATGAATCCTGATGCCATCACTACCAACCAGAAAGCAAACAACAAAGCCAACAGTGGAAACATCCCAACTCCCCATCATCAAAGAAGTCTAGAATGATGCAAAGTTAAGAGCAAAATCATGCTTTAATGAAAAGCCCATTTCTCATTAAGTTCCTTGTCCAGGTCAAACAATCAATGCTGTTCGGTACTGCAATACCCTCGAACGTTTGCATGCAGCAATCATGTCAAGCCAAATGGCCAGACATGTTGACCTCTGAATTGCTTTCGCTCCATGACAGTGTGTGGGCACATATGGCCATTTGCACATTTGAACATGCTTGTGTGGTTTAGGTAGAGTGCGTTCGAACACATGCCATACAACCGTAACCTTTCACATCTTTGGTCCGCTAAAAAAGGCGGCTGATCTTTACAATATGGTAACTGGTAGTTTGGCGACATTTTGGAGGCGATAAAGGTTACTACCTGGGACTTTGGTAATAATGTGAGCAGTACTCAGTTCCGATTACGCATTATTTTGTGTGAGGTAAACGAGAGATCATGGGATATGTCATGAGATATTAATGGACGAATTACGGTTCTTAATCGAAAAGGGGGGGAATCGGGAAAAAATCTGGAAATTTGTATTTGCCTTTATTCTGTGTTGTGTGAAAACAGGTTGTTAACTTTTGGATCCCATGGCCCTAACTAAAGTGCTTCCCTGCGTTTAGTGGGCTTGAAAGGGGTATCCGTGTTGCGTTAAAGTTGTGCGCGCTCGAAGTCCCGCTGTTTTCTTTTCTTCTTTTGGTCCCTTGGTGTGGACCTTCCGTCTGTTTTCCCGTCCTGCCCCCGCACTACGCAGTCTCGGCTGCGTTTCCGCTTCTGCGCCGCTCGGTCGTGATTTTATTTGCGGATATTCTTTTTCCCTGTTTAGTCGGGGGTCCCGTTTGTGTCCCGGTGGAATCCTTTCAATTGAGTATTTGTCCCTTTGTACTGGGGTCTGCCTTCGTTAGTGGCGTTGATCCTCGGTCCTGTAGAGGTCCAGTTTTTGGCTCTTTTTGTAATTTTGACCTAATATTGGCCCGGGTTTGTAATGGGTCAGGTACTGAATTAGTTTAGTCGTTTTGTTACTATTTGTCCGGGTGGTCGCAAGTTTTGTTTTTCATTGTTAGTTTCTTTTGTCGTCCGGTGGGTCCGGGAATTTGGATCAATTTGGAAAGGGTATGTAACTTTTTTTTCTTCGCGCAATCAGGAATTTCATATATGTTCTTTTTACCGGGTTTAAAGATTCAGAGAAATTGTCATGTATTTTCGTGAAATTTTTGTAATTATGAGAAAAAGGCAGTGTACATGGTTACTGGAAGAGTGTTGGTGCAATGCCATTTTTGTGCAATTCTGGGATGTTTTTTTAAAGAAAAAAGTGAACGTGACGGTTTTTTTAGTGATATTTTATAAATGATAGTTATTTTGTGAATTTTTATGTTTGTAGGAATTTGGTTACGTTAGCTTGAAGTAAACGTGATGGAAATAATTTAAATATTTGACCACTAAGTATTTGTAAATATTGTTGCGGTATGAATTCGTTGGTTGACGTTTATAATAATAATAATTTAGAGGTAAAAGTTTTTGGATATTATTTATTTTTAATGTTCATCCTTGGAAAGGGTATAACTTTCGGATCAGGGTAAGTTCATATATGTTTCTTTTTACCGGGTTAAAGATTCAAAATTGTATGTTTTTCGTGAAATTTTTTGTAATTTATATGAGAAAAAAGAGTGTACATGGAATAGTGAAGAGTTGTGCGCCAACATTTTTGGATTCTGGGATGGTAAGTCACTTTTTATGTTATGTGTTATTTCCCCCATTATTGTTTTTTTGCAGTGATATTTGTCATGATTAAGCAGTTTGTTAGATTAAATTGTTGAAAACTCAGTGTTTTCGGCTAGTAGATTGTTGGAAGAAGTGTTCAGTAGCTAAAAAGAAAAAGAACATGTCTTTACTTCGTGAAGACAAAATGGCGGCGGAAAAAAAAATAGAGGGTTGCTGTAGGAGAGTTGGTCGGCAAATTTTCGCCAAAAAAAAATGCCAAGTTACCATAATGTAAAGATCAACCAAAAAGGCATTGTGGGGATGATGTTTACACTTGGACAGTGAAATCATGAACACAGTTTGAAACTGGTTTCAATCTTAGCTTAACTTTTTCTGCAAAGAAGGTAGTACTGCTAGGTGCGACATGGGGACAAGTGTTTATATAATTTTTGTGATTTTATTTGAAAAATACCTTTTCATTTTATATCTACTGTTCTATTTTTATTTGATCCACCCTTATAACTAATACCATCTGGATTTGGTTGACTGGATCTTAGTCTGTCCCTACTTGCCCCCAGGAAATTTTGCCTTCCCCACCGGATGTTCTCGTAGGTTTGCATGTGCACATACGGTTTGCAATTTAGCAGTTGGAAGATCCAGCGTTTGAATCCCAATGAGAGGAGCATAGTTGATTTTTCTCACATTTGTAGTTCTGGAAAGATAAATCCCTATAGTTATACTACAAACTAACAGGTTAAGTGAGTTCTTAGTGTATTATGTTAATATAAAATAGTTCATTTCATAGTCATAATTAGGAGAAGCATTTAATTATTTACCTTTCCTCAATCATATTATTCATCTTTTCTGAGTTCTAATTTTTGAATAAATTATGCATATGCAATTAATTTTCAGCATGAAAGTTTTGTGAAGTAAGCTATATATAGTCACTTTTCTCCCCCCCCCATTTTAATGTGTAGTTATTATATTATTTTGGATGACACGTTTGCTGGTGGTTAATCAAGTACATTTTTATTAACATTTTTATCAGTATTTCGCATTAGTTTTTTTATATGTATGAATTTATTCAATTTGTATGAATGAATATTATATGTTTGAATTCAATTGTTTAATAATTTACTGTTCTCCATACTCATTTTTATTTTTACAGTGCATTTGTTGCATTTATCTGTATAATATATTTATAGGAAAAACAAAGTGTATGTTAAAGACAGGTGATTGTGTTGTAAAGCACCCTGGTATTTATGCAACAGGATTAGCTATGGTGGTAAGTCTAGCTATTTACAATTAATGAAATTATATTGTAAAGAAATCTGTATGCTTAATAAAATTATATTATATGATATATTAAAACTATGCTAGTATTATTAGGTTTCCCTCTTATTTGAAGTTACTAAAATGTGTTCAATTCAATTTAGTTCAGTTCAGTTGCCTCGTGTTTGGCAGCATTTAGCAGCGCTACTGCTTTTACTGCCTGACAAAAAAAAAAAAAAAAAAAAAAAAAAATGCCCTAAGGGGTTGGTACATTTTAGAATAAGGGCAATAGCCGCTACACCGTACTAGGTGAAGCTGGAAACAAGTACTTGAAGCACGTAAAAAGAAAAATTTGGGAAAGCGTCTGGGCATATCTTACATTCCTTCAGTAGCGGCCATTCAAGCGGCGAAAATCTCGTCACTGGAATGAATAACGATGATTCGTTTGAGCCAGTCACCTACCTAAGTACTGACCCGGAGAGAAACTGCTTGAAAATGAGGGAGAGTCCTAAGTTTTGAAGTTACTGGTAAATCATGAAAATTCCAAGGCTTACTCTTCACATTCTGCAAACTTCATCAATGCTAATGCAGCTTGAAACCCAGCAACAAACTTCTCAGCTGTATTTTTCGCGTCGCTCTTATCTTCTCGATAGTGATTACTGTACTTGGAAAGGTTTTAATCTTCTTATCTTGCAACCAGGTAACTGCTTCTGGCATCTATTCTGGAGGGGGCTGTAATTTCTTCTTTACGTGAGCGTTGTAGGCAGGCCCATGCCAAGTCTAATTGGCACTGTCGTGCAAATGTCCAGCGAGCGCCTTAATGCAGTGACGATACTAAAGGGAATCTGCTAATGGTTAACACTTAAAATAAAGTATTGTTAACATTATAATATGAGAGACCAAACAAATTACATATTTCTTTCAGTTTGTCAATGTGGAAAATGTTTTGTGCTTTATTAAAACCCACACTCAAACATATTTATTGAAGACCTGAACATATATTATGTTATAAAAAGTAACCTGCAAGGAGTAGAATAATACCTAACATATTGGATACCAAATACACTCTATCTAAACAACTCGACACACAAGAAGGAGTGTTCGAGGAGACAAAAAATTGGTTGATTGAAAATATGTCAGACAGAAATGATACATTTCAGAACAATTGAAGGATTTATTTCAAAAATTACTAGTTACAAAGTAACAACTCATAGGTGTTGCCCACCTCTATCTGGGATGCAAGTGCCACACTGGTGGCCTAGATTGATAAAGCGGGGCGTTCCAGATGGTCTCCTTCGTATTTCTTGCCATTTTGCTCAAATGTTTGGCTAAGTCATCAGCATTCCCTGGTAGATGCAGTCGCCTTTCCATTATATCCCAAACATGCTCAATAGGAGAGAGATCTGGCAGGCCAAGGCAGTGTTTCACAAGCTGTAATAGAGGTCATAGCAACACATGCTGTATGTGGTCTGGCACTATCTTGCTGAAAAATAAGACCAGGATACTGCAAAAGGAATGGTAGCAAAACAGGCCTCAGAATGTTGTTGACGAACCGCAATACTGTAAGTGTGCCTCTAATAATGACCAAAGGGGTCCAGCTATCAAGGAAATGCACCCCGACCAAACCTGTTGAGGGCCTGTGTGGTGATCATAGTGAAAGCAGTAGCAGCAGCTGTTGGGCGTCTCCGACACGTCTTGATGCTCATCTTGACACGTTGGAAGTGGGATTCATGGTTAGATATACTTCCCAGTCAGATCATTCCAACTGTTTGACCAAGCACCACTGTAATCTGGGTTTGACAGTGTCAGGCGTGTTGGCAGGTGGCGTACATGGAACGAGTATAGATTCGCTCTATCAGCATTGTTATAGGCATGGTGACACGTGTGCGGTCACACGTATGATGGGTGATAGCGATGAAAGGTGCTGTGACAGTGATTTGACAATCACTCTGTCCTCTCGATTGGTTGTGCCTTAGTTGCCGCATACTATCGGAGGCTAAATCGTGCCATTATTGCCAGCAGCTTTTAATGATCGCATCACTTTGGCTCAAATATACGAGCATTTCCCCGCTTTTAGCCCCAAATTGCATCTTTCTTTCAATTGATCGACCTCTTTCGAACTCTGACAATTGCTCATAATGAGCTCGAATCCTGCGGTGTGGCATTTTTTCAGTCGTTGAAAGCTATCATAAATTGCAAAGCAACAGAATTTTTAACAACAGTTTGAGAAAAGCTTATTATATAAATCTGCAGAATGCACTGTTCTGATTAACTGGAGATCGCACTATTCATTCATTGGACACCAAATTTTAATCATTTGCATATTTGGTCAAAACATTTATTCGTACGAAATTTCAAAGCAATCAGATGATTCATTCTTGATACGTCGATTTTTTTGTTATAGAGTGTATATTGCTTAACACTATTTATTATCTTAAAATTAAAAACAAATTAGTTTAAGTATCTAATAAGTTTGCACCGAATAAATTGTTGTTGTTAGCGTTGTTTACGACAAGGTTCAAACTGTGATTACAACAGGGCACAAAAATTGCTCCAGGGCTGATATCTAGGAATTTATCCAAAATTCTTTTATGCACAACGCTATGTTGTTGACGACGATATTAGCTTCGCGTTTCAACCGATGCTACACCTCCAAAAGTTTGCAATAACTGCAGTTCATGTATAAGAGCTATACTATTTATATCGCTTTGATTTTTATCAGTTAATGCTTTTTGCAGTTTTTGACATAAGCTGAGCTGATCTTGTAAATATATGTGAACAAAAATACGTGATGCCGATGCGTATATAAGGGTAGACACTGTGCCGTAGACATGTTCAGCAAATTGCTTAATCCTTATTTTGTGTCTACTGTTGCAATCGTAGTAATTTGGGCAACATTTATATTTTTTTATGATTTTTTGGGGGGATTGCTTGTTGTTATTGTTATCCTACATAAAAGAAGGTAAGTACAGTTACATGTTATGTTAATCATAGGTTAACTTTTTAATTTGGAAAAGCAACGATTTGAGCATAATTACTCAAAAACTGTTTACCTCTTGTGTTTGAGATGTCTCCTGGCTTGGTTATAACCTTTTGGTTAAATAAAGCAGTGTGCTAGGAGGAAGGGGCACTGAGACCTGGCAAGCTTGAGGCTGCCTCAACATAGTTAAATGCCCCAACTCCTAGAGGTGATCCAAGAGGCCGCTAACTTATTGGTCGAGCCAACAAGCTAAGACTAAGCTGAGTTGACAGGAATAGTCAGCAACTCGCATTCCACACCCCATCCTGGAGGGATGGTAAAAACATCTGCCATCGACAGGGACCCCAACCTCGGACAGCAGAAGAAAGTCACTTAAACACTAACTGACAGACCAGGCCACCAATCAGGCCTGCTAACACTACGTCATGGTATATAGACTTCAGCTTTAGGCACCCTCAGGGGGAAAACAAGGAAGGACATGAATATGCAGCTTTGAGGCTTCTGGCGCACACTGGCAGCCTCAAGCAATTTAAAGGCTCGCTGAATTCGCCAAATCAGATTTGATCAGTTGGGGAAATTCTTCTAATGTTGATGCAAGAATCCTCAGTTTTTGGAGAAGCATCTATCTCTCGAACCTCTTTTTATAATCAGCGCATCCACGATATGAGCTAATGTGAGCTTCTTTGCAAAAGATGCATGTAGCTTTTTCTTCATCATTCAAACTAAACTGCATTTCTAAGATATTTTTCTCTCAGTGCTTTATATTTCTTAAATTTTGTATATTTTACTTTTTTATATTATGCAATAAATAGAAATTAACTATGATTCGACTGAAATTTATTTAAAGAAATTTTTTGGGGGGTGATAACATCTGAAGTTGGTTTTTCTGGCAACTTAGTTTCTCATGATAAAAATCTATATAAAAAAATATTTTCTACAAAGGAAAAATGCATTTTTCAATTCTCCAATATATATAGATTTAAAATATTCACAAACAAGCCAATATGGAAAAAAAAAAGAAAAAAAAATTCACAATTTTTGTAGCAATCTCAATCTACAAATTGAGCAGTCAGAGGGTTAATTTCTATATATACTTAAAGTATTTGGTGCAAATAAAAAATTGCACATTACTTGAAACAAGTAAATCATAAAATGTGTTTAAATGTACGATACCTATAATTTGCTTTCAGAATATTAGCATTAGAGTATTAGTTCGAATGATGTGTATATTTGTTGGAAATATTTATATAAAAAAATCTGATATGTATACCACATGACTTCCTTGTACGAAATATGAAATTATACACATTATTTCTTGCATTTTTTTAAACTTATTGGATTGCATTAAATCTATTTCGCCGACAGTGCATAAACCACAATAGAATAAATGCATTCTTTAAAATTCACTCTATTTGTTTACCATAGCGACACTCTGGCGCTAGGCTCACTTAACAGTATTATATTTCGTTCATAACTCAGAATGCACAAAATTGATATCATTTAAAGAATTATCTAATCGGTGCCACATCTTCTATTCAAATACTATAATAAAGCTAGAATGATGTATAAAAGAAATTAAGCAAACAAAACAAAAAAGAAATTTTCACAGACGATTGAATATTTCTCATTGAATTAATTCAGTTCTCACTTCACGACAAGGCAAAAATACATAAAAACTCGAAATATCTGTATTAAAAATTACGAAGTAAATCTTAAATACTTTTTTTCTCGAAAAAAATTCCAGAAAGATTAAGCATGATTTAATTCGCGATAATAAATGAAGGCGTTATCTTTGTTGTTGCGAGAAGCTAAATTTCTCTAGATTAAAAACAAATCTCCTACTCTGCTGTTTCAAATGTAAACAAGCAATGGGCGCCATCAAAAAAAATTATTAGGCTAGCGGCACTTAAACAACTTTAAAATTGTTATAATTCTAAATATTGCATACAGATTTACTAAGGCATAAAACCTTAACCGGAAGATAGAACAACATAATCAATGATTTTTAAAGCAAAATGTACAATTTTACAAACATATAAGAGTAAAAAAACTGAGATCACTGACCCGGGTAACAGAGTGGAATATATATATAAATATATTTATATACGTTTGGGTGTGGCTGATTGCAACCAAAATACGAGGTGCATATCTACAGGTATAGCAGTCCTATATACAAAATTCATGTTCTGAGGCTACTTGCTTTTGAGTTATGCGAGATATGTACGTACGTTCATATAGACGCCACGAAAAATTCTCTTCAAAATTCATTTTAAAGCAGTTTTATAATTTTTTAGGGAAAATATTTTATTCTGTCCTTACGTACAAATATCACGCAAAAACATCATTAAATTGCATTCGCTAGTGGTCAAAATGGATATTTTCATTGAAATATTCTGCCTGAATCTTTTCGCGATTGCAATACTTCCTTTTACTTCGTACAAGGAAGTAAAAATAGTAATTCTGTATTACAATGCATTAAAACATAAAATTAAAAACTTCTAAGCAAATTAAATTAAAATTTAGTCCATTAATTTTAGTATAACATTTTTTTAAAATATTGATTTTTTACGAGAGTTTAAATTTGAACTGGCTATTTTATTAAATAAAAAATTAGCCTCATTTCAAGATGTTCCATTTCAGCAAATATGCCTCCCTCAATTTCAGGGCTGGCTATGCCCATGAAAAACTATAGTCATACTAATTTTTTGTTAACTTTTATTTAATTTTTTTTTAAATTTTAAATTTGTGTTCTCTTCATTTTGGCCAAATTTGTAAATTAAAATCAAATATGATTTATCATAAAACAAACTGTTATTGAACGAGCTGGCTGAATGATAAGTTACATCAACTGAAAATGTTGAAAAATAATGATAAAAATTTTGAAGTACAGCATATGGTATTTTATCATAATAAGGTACATAGTGTTATAATTTCAAAGAAAAATGAAGGTTATTAATCTTATTTAAAAACAGCAACAGTTATCAGAGACAACTTACCTAGCAATATGAATAATTAATATAGTGATAACATAATTTATGCAACATTTTGTGGAGAAAATGTGTTATCATTTTAAGAAATAGTTCTGCATTGGGTTTCTTTTGTGAAAAACTGTATCTTATGTATTTTCATCAGACCAGTCATATTAATGATCTTAAGTATAATGTATTGAGAAATTTTTGAAGAAATATTAGGCATAATATTTTTTGTGTATGTTGGCAGATATTTACAAATGCAAGTATGTGGAAGTATTTTATGAAAAGACAAAAATAGGTGAATTGGGAAAAATTTGTGTTGCTTATTAACAAATTAGTAATTACTGTTTTCTAGAAAAGTCCTATTCCATCCTTAGATAGATTTTGTTCATTTATATTTATATATCAAGTTACTGCATCTGAGTGACATTGCAAAGAAGTTTCTCCCTCTTTACTGCATACCTTGTGTTGTAAATTGGAAGCATGTCTAATTAACACTGGGAAGAATTTGAATCCTTCTGAAGGCAATTTGAATCCTTCTGAAGGAATGATTTTTCCTGTGTCCTGTGTCCTGTTTCAGAATGCCTAATAGATTATTCTGTAGTGATGGGCAATAATTTGTCACTACCAAGATTTTGCAGCTGGATCCCATCTTTCACAGTTACCTTTTAAATGGGAGATAATGTAATGAACTTGTTCTTTCCTTACTGCATGCCTTCTTAGTGTAATTGTAAATCATCTCGGCTAGCACTGGAAAGTGAGTTTGAATCCCATAAGGATATCATTCATACTTTTTTGTTTCCTTCTCTGACATAAACTAAAAAGACTCTTCAAGTGCACCTAAGCTTAAAAATATGGTGGACGATAATTTGGCATCACCTGGATTTATTGACTGGATCTGCCCTTTCCATAGTCACCCTATAACTGGGAGAAAATTTAAGGAATTTTCCTTCTCCTTACCATGTGCTTTCAATGGCAGATTTTCACATAGGTCATGAAGTGCATACTTCAGGCCTCTCAAATCATTTAAGGCTGAAATTTCAGGCTTTAAAATAAAAAAAAATTTAAAAAAGAGTTTGATTGTATTATTTATTTTTTTCCTAACAAAAATGATTACCGTATTTGATGGCATATAAGACACTTTTTTTCCTAAATTTGGTCTAAAAAAAGTTACCAGCATCTTATACGTGAAGGACACAGTCTTATATGTGAAGGTAATTGCATTCAATAATTGTTTATTTGGCTTTTACGAAATGTGAGACTAAAAGACGTGAAACTTTTTTTCCTTGTGTGTGACCGTCTAGATAAGGGTGCGTCTTATATGCCATCAAATACAGTAATAATTTACTATTATTCTCTAAATGAAATTGACAAATCAATAACTCCATCTTTGACATATCTTTTGTGATCTTCTTCAGTGACTTGAGAACCCATGATGGGCCTTGGTGTTCTTTAGAATTTTATTCCTGGCTGCTCTGTCCTAAGTGTTCCAGTTCCACCTTTAAGTTTGGCAAGTCTTCCAGACAGTGTAGTCATCTTAGTTTTGGTCTCCCTCTCTTTCAATTGCCTGTTGGCTTGTTTGTGAATATTTTTTGGTAGTTCTATTTTCAGGCACTTTGATTAGATTACCAGCCATTTTAACCTTTGAATGATGATCAAATTTATGATGTCTAGATAAACATATGTCCTGTAGATTTTTGCATTGGTTGGCCATATATCTGAATACCTCCAACAATGCTTCTCAAAATTTTTCTATGAAAGACTGCAAGTATTTCTTTTTCCTTTTCAGCTAATGCTCAGGTTCCAAGCTCCATACGTCAAAACAGGTCTAATTAAACATTTGTAAATTTTCAATTAATTGTTCTTTTCATAAAGTTTTATTTTAGATACTTATTTAAACCGAAGAAGCATCAGTTAGCAAGTGCTACTCTGTTATGAATTTCGGGAGAGATATTGTTCACTACATTAATTACAAAACCAGATTTGTGAAACACTCAACAACTTCAAATTTATATTTATCAAGTTCTAAGAAAAATTGATTAAATTTTGACTCAGTACATAGCATATATTTAGTTTTTGCTTGTGTTAATCACAGCAGACATATTTCAAACCATATGCAAGTTCATTCTATTGATGAGATAAAGATAAAAATGTCCTTACTGATAAGAAAAATTCATAATTATTTCATGTTATTTTATAGACTGAAATAGAACCAAACATCATCAAACAATATATTATTCTCAAATTATTATTAATTATATGAAAGCATTTCTTTAGAAACAAAATTTTTTGCTGTTGTTGTTACATTCCAATATATTTTACATGTTTAATAAAGAGACTCATAAGTACATTGTTGTAATTTTTGTAAATAAACTCTATTTTCAAATAAATCATATATGCATTTGTATTATTTTTTTAATTAATAATCTAGAGTGTGGGCTACAGTAAAAACATATGCATAGAATAAATACTATAGTGGTAATGTAAAATATTTAGGGGAGGCTTCAGAGCTGAATAACATTTATGGGGTCTCTCAAGTGCTAAATCCACTATTGTTTATAGTGTAATCAGAAGCACATCCAGCTAGTCTTGGGAAGTTCGGAGTTCAAATCCTAGCAAAAGCATCGTTCATTTTTCATGTTCTCTGAAATAAAACCTTAACAACCTGACCAGTTTGTCTGTTTATGAGATTTGTTGTCACTTGGTTTAAATAAAATAATTTTGTTTAAAGACGTAGATTTCATAATGTTTGCAAAGGCATGATCACAGAGAGTAAAGGAAACAATTATATAAATGTAGCTGGTAAATGCTGTTTGAATATGGCTGTTCATGAGCAAATTCGTAACCTGCCACTCAAAATCATTAAAGCATTTTAATACTGCATATATATATATTTTTTCTTTCCTACAAACAACTTTCATTCTATTAAATTAAAAACATGTTTCGTGATGACTTTCAAAAGCAGGCTTTCATTTCCTAATATATAGCAACATTTAATTAACGACTGATTTCCTGTATTTTTCTTCCTTTTTTTTATTATAGGGTGCAATTTGTGACTTTTGTGAAGCATGGGTATGCCATGGTAGAAAATGTCTTACCACTCATGCTTGTAATTGTCCATTGCAAGATGCTTTGTGTGCAGAATGTCAGAGAGGAATTTGGGATCATGGTAAAAATCACAATTTCCCCCTCCCTTTTTTCACACAGTAATTATATATATTTATTTCATGTACATGCTCTTAAAATGTGTGTTGCAAAAATCTTGAAGTATTTGTTAAAATTTAAACTTTTTCTTGTTGCTTAATTGTGTATTTACCAGCGATTATCAATTAATTATTAATTGTGTTTATTTGTATTACTTCATTATTACAGTGTTTTCTTCTGGGAATATTCTTTTCACCTCCAAGAGTATTGTAAGCATGTGGATCACAATAAGTCTTCACTATATGTACGTACAGTGGTGGCCAAAATTGTGGACACTTTTGGAAATTTTTATGTTTTTGAACTTTGTATGCTTATAGAAAACGTTACGTTTCACAAAATGCAAACTTGTATATATCATTTTAAAGAGAATTTTTTACTGAATTCAATAAAAACACAAAATTCAATTATTTGCAATACAAAAAACAGGGTTGCCACGCTACCTGGAAAACCGGGAGAACCGGGAAAAGTCAGGGAATTCGAAAATTGACCAAAAAATTCAGGGAAAAGTCAGGGAATTTAAGTATTTTTGTCAAAATCTGGAAAAGTCCAGGGAAGTTCATACAATGATCCCGCCAAAAAAAGCGATTTTTGCGCCGACGGCGGAAGAGATAACTTTTTTGGCGAATTGTCTATCACGTGAGTGTCTAGCTGGCATAGAGCCAATTTTCGCAGCTCCAATTTGATTGCCTTTTAGTTTCCCGCAACTTTTGGTTTCCAGTATTCTCGAGAATCGCATGTGCAGTGCATGAACTAAAGAAAGTACCTGTTTCTCGTATAAAACAAAATGGGTTTAATCTAGTATACGGTACCATGGAGGTTAGAATCAAAGAATATGTATTGTAAAGAAGGAAAACCTCTCTGCAACAGACGTGGCTCCGTTCCATCATAGAGGGAAACAGCTGTGCATGCGTGATATATCTGCCGCCAAAGCTGGAAACCGGTGTGGAAGTTCGAAGGTCACGTTATCAAGAGTTCATTAAATGAATATCCTTTAAAATTTCTTTAACCACTTGCGCTAAAAAGACGTGCGCACGTCGAGATGCTTTTGTCTCAAACTGCGAGCGACGTGAACACCACGTCGATAAGCATTTATCGCAAAAATGAAAATAACATGGTGCACACGTCGCCTAACAACGAGATTGTTTATTTCTCGAGTTACAGCTCTGGATTGCACTCGCAGATGCGGAGCGGCGTAAATGAGACACTTTACCACTTGCTATATTGTAGCGCACGGCACCGCAACCGTGAAGTTTAGTCTTAGCGCAAGTAGTTAAACTCTAAATTAAAAGAAAATATTTTTTGGCGCAAGTAAATTAATTCATAGGTTAGTAATTTTCAGGGGGGGGGGAAAACTACGAAAATCCGTTTTTAAAATTATTGCGAAAAATCCAAGAAGAAACGTCCTTTGATAAAACGTTTCTTCTTGGATTTTTCGCAATAATTTAAAAAAACGGATTTTCGTAGCTTTCTTTTTGTCAAAGAACGTTTCTTCTTAACACGTTTTCTCAATTTCCGGTACACATCGCGGAGAGGGAAATTCTGGCCGCCAGGTTCCGTCGCCAAATCCCTTGGCAAATTTTCCCTCCGCATTCTAGCGGCGTAATAGCATTTTACTTGTATGGAAACTTTTCTTCTTTACATAGACCAAAGAATTAGAGATTCTTTGCATAGACGTTTTTTGGTTAAAATAATCTCCATGTATGGATTTGGCGACATGATGATGCGCAGTAAACGGGTCATTTTGGTCTTGGCGACAATTTTCAAAATCGTGCCAAAGCCTTACCGTATACTAGAATTTTACCGCAAAATCTTTTTTAAAACTTTTTCTTTTTTAATAAATACCTTGCCATTTTGCAGTAAAATAAAAAATAGTAATCTGTCATCTAGGCTAACCATGTAATATAACTATATTCGCTAAAATATCGTTGATTATTCTAATTCAATTTTTAAGTAATTATCTTTATTTTTATGTTATTCGTATAATTTAATGATGCTTCTTCCCTCTAAATTTATTAATTATTAGTAAATAATATTTCTAAATTTCAGGAAATTTTCTCTGGCATAATCTTGAAATTAATTCTAGCAGTATGATGACATACCATCACGAAATTTAATGCACATATTTTTTCTTATGTATGCTGCGAACTAAATATAAAATACCTCAATTTATTAAAATAGATTTCTTTGTTTCGTTTAGCTGCAGAATGTCTGCAAAAAAAAAGCCTTATTTTATTCCAGATTGGGAAGATTCTAATCTCAATCTTCAATGGAGAAAACAAGAACTATTATAATTTGTGTTTTCAAGTGTTAAGGTGCTTTTTAAGAACATACCTCACACAAATTAAATTTACCTAAAATCTAACCTAAACTATTTAGCATTGCGTTGTGATTTATAAGGACCGGATTAGCCTCGTGTTGAACTGGTGATGATCATGAGTAATAATTAAATAAAACATACATTTGTTATCCAATGTATATATCTTAAATTTTATTAAGTTTCTTAAGTGGAAAAGTAAACAAAATTATCAAACAAAGTATACCAAGAATAATTAAGAATAAATGTCCTCTGGGATTTATTGAATAATTAAGTGAATTTGCTACACAATACAAGTAATACCATAATTTACCTCTTAGCGTAGCCAACGTACATTACGCGGATAGACTGGAATTTTCTTGAAACGCACCTGGAAAACCTGGAAAAGTCAGGGAATTTCATTCTCCTGTTTGAGTGGCAACCCTGAAAAAAAGGTTAAACGATGATGGTTATCGATATACATTAGATAGTGATGATTGCAGTGAGTTATCAGTACTTAGTAGGGTACCCTTTATTTTTTATTACAGCTTCACATCGACGTTTCATTGAGCTGACAAGAGTTTTAAGCTCTTTCGTTATTACATGGTGCCAGGAAACAATTATAGCCTCAATTAGTTCCCTTTTATTTGATGGGCACCTCATTCGGACAAGAGTTTTCAAACGATCCACAAATGTTCAATAGAATTGAGGTCAGGATTGTTTCCTGGTCATGATAACAATTTAATGCTCTTTGTACGAAACCACTCTTTCGATATTTTGGCTGTGTGGCAAGGAGCAGAATCCTGCTGAAAAATAAACAAAGCATTGTTGGGAAAGAGATCTCTGATGGAAGATAGAAGTTTTGGTTCTAGAATAGTGTCAATGTATTTTCTGGCATTCAGTGTCCCATCGATGAAATGAAGGCAACCAATACCATCTGCTGACATGCATGACCAAATCATAACACTAACTGGGTTCTTTACAGTTGCTTGAATGCAGTCAGGATGTAGCTCTTCTCCTATTCTACGTCTTACATATTTTCGCCCATCACTACCGAATAACGATCTTTATTTTCATTACTCCGTATTATAACTTGTGACCACTGATCATCTGTCCAATTAATGTGTTCCTTTGCCCACTCTAGTCTTTTTTTTTTTTCGTTGCTGAAAATTAAGATAAGGCTTTTTTCGTGGAATTCTACCTCTCAGTCCAACATCTGTTAATCTTCTCCTGATTGTTCTTGAACTGACAGAAACACCAGCATTATTCAGATCACTTCTGATGGCCGCTGATGATATTTTTCTATCTTGGAGACATAGTCTTTTTATTCTTCTGTCATCAATAGATGTGGTGCACCTTTTCGGCCTTTTCCTTCTTTGTTTTTTATTGAATTTGTCTCCTGATATCATAAACAAAACTTTCGGAGTCCAGGTGTAGTCACTGAACCACCCACCTGTCTTGCAATTTCAGCATAGAAAAGACCACTTTCTCATAACACAATAATATTACATCTCTTTCTAGGTGTCCAGTCTACTCTTTTATTTGATGTCATTGCTTCTTGACTAAATATTAAAAAGTTTTACAAAAATTCCTACCTCTAATTGCAGTGTATAAGAAACAGGTCCTCCTTCTACAGAACAAAGCAAAATAATGAATTGTTTCAAGTGTAAACATGATGTCAGCTTCTACTGGCAGTTACTAACATTTGATTGGGTTCTCAGAACAAGAACAGTGATTGGCCAGGAAAGCTAGACATTACAAACCACTTCATAATTGTGTTTTTTATTTATGTTAAAGTACACATAACTTTTTTTGTATTGCAAATAATTGAATTTTGTGTTTTGTATTGAATTCGGTAATAAATTCTCTTTAAAATGATATATACAAGTTTGTATTTTGCGAAACGTAACATTTTCTATAAGCATACAAAGTTCAAAAACATAAAAATTTCCAAAAGTGTCCACCACTGTATATGGTTTGCAATTAGTCATAATTAGATGCACATAGGTCATGAAGCTGTAACATTTGAGAAATACTGGCATATGGAGCAGGTTTGTTAGATTAAATATAGCTGAAATTTTGTAACATTCAGCTGGTCCTGTATGAACTTAACAGAAATATGAAATATATTTATATCCTATTATTTAAAATATTTATCTTGTATTAAAAATATTATTCTGAACTTTATTGAATGGTACATAGATGGTTTCCTGTTGACAATGAAAGTTGGCATAGATCTTGCGAAACTTGTGGCAACCATTCTGGCAAAATTTTGATATAACAGAAGCCTCCTTATCTAGGTAGATAATCACAGATCACCTGTTATTTAGTTACATAGTCATCAGGTACAATTACCAATACAGCATATAAAAAACTGAAATAAATAGGACCTCAATTTTGAGATTATCTGACAAACAACTTCATTAAAACTTGGGCCAGTCATTCTGGCAGCTAAAAATGTGTATTGACATTTAAAATGCAAGGTGAGACTGAAAAGTAAGGTGACTGATGTTATAATAATAACTGTAATATATATTTACATATAAATACATCACTGTCCTTCAAAGTAGTTCTTGCTGTCTACAACACACTTCTGACAACGTTCATACAAGTTCTGGAAACTTTTAAAAAAGTCCTCCTTTGAGACTGTGTCAAGTTTCTTGGTAACAGTAGCTTGAATATCTGAGATTGTCCCTTCAGTGCCAATTTCAGTCGTGGAAAGAGGAAAATGCCTGTTGGTGCAAGATCAGGGGAATAAGGAGGGTGAAATAACTCCGTAACCTTTTGCTGCAGTATGAGGGATGTGCACTATCATGCAACAGAAACCACTTGCTTGATGCAGGGAGATGGGGCCGAACACAACGAAATGTGAGCCAGGAGGTGCTTCATAACATTTCAATAAAATTCACCTTTAACTGTTTGACCTTCCAGTATGTATTCTTTATTGATAATTCCCTGTGCTTTGAAAAAGGTAATCAACATTGTCTTAACCTTTGATTTTTTGGAGTGAAACTTTCTTGATTTCGGCGATAAGGGAGTGCACCATTCCATGCTTTGGCGTTTCATGTTTGGATCATACACAAAACACCACGTTTCATCTCTTGTGACGATTGATTGTAAAAATGTGTCATCTTTATCTTCTGCATTGATCAAGTCGCCACAGGAGTCCAATCGCCGCTGTTTTTGTTCATCGCTTAAGTAATGAGGGACAAACGTCGCACAAAGTTTTTGTTTACCCAAATCCTGCATCAATATTGTTCAGAAGATTTCATGAGGAAGATTCAATTTGTTTGCCATTATTCGGATGGACAAACTGCGATCTTGCAGCAATAACTTCCTAACTCTTTCAACATTTGCTGTCAGTCTGCTCATCATTGGTCTTCCACTGCGATGTCATTTCCCACGCTTTCACAGCCTTCACGGAAAAGTTTAAACCACTGAGAGTTACTGAATTTTATCTCTTGCAAGATAAAGTTTCTTCACCATACACACTTCAAAGCATTTCCAAGGTTTCCGTAACAGTTTTACCCATTTTAAAATAGAATTTCAGATTTGTTTTCTGCTCCATTATGTAATGTACTAACACCTTTCACGTTTAAGTGACTGCATGAACAAACATGAAACAAGAAACTTTGCAAATGATCCTGAATTTCAGTGTTGCATATCGAAGATTGTAATGCGCATGTGTCAGGTCATCGGGCTGTTCTCATTTTCAAAAGGAGGGGTGAGTCACCTTACTTTTCGGTCTCACCTTGTAGTAAAGTGGTCATTTTTGTGGACTGGGTACCACATAAATTCACTTAAATATGAATTCACATAATGACACAGTGTTTTTTATTTTGCAATTTTGCTAAATCCCAGAATCTTTCAATATTTTGAGTATGCATCATATGTATAATCAGGATCTTTAAAATTATGTTGATAATCAAAATGTTCAAATACTGTAGCTCATAATTCACTTATTTTATGGACCTTCCGAGAATACGAAACAATTGTAGATCCATCTTCTATTATGTTCTTTTATTTCTTCCATTAGAATACCCAAACTTCTGTCCAGAATTCTTTCAATAAAGCATTAGTCAGTCTCTGATTCCACCAGTATTCAACCAGCTTCACTTTTTTGCTCCATAAAAATGACCTTCATCTATTTTTATAAATTTGTTTGGCTCTGATTTTACCTCTGTTTAGAAGGCTATGTGTGCAAATTTCTATCAGGTGATTATGCCAATTAGTTTTAGTTTTGCCAGCCAGATTGAGCTGTTTTTTTCCAATTGAATAGTTATTAATTCTATCACCAGCTCCAAATAACCTGATTTCAGTCATAAATGTTATTCTAGTGCTTTTAAACTGTATCATATTTTGATAAGTATCATTCACATTGCGTCACCATTGCTAATCCATTTTCAAAAAAGTCCCATAACATACCTATTAATGCACACATTTTTTAAAGGCAGGATATTGTAACTTTGAAAATGCTTCACTGCTTGCTGTTCTGTACAAAGAAGGTTCAAATTTTAATTATTGGTCCAAAATGCAAGAGAAACAGAGGATTATAGTTAATTTATATCCTTTTTCGCACAAACAAAACTGGTGAATCGAGAATAAATTGGGGTTACACAAAGCCAAAGTGAAGATCTTATGAACTTTGTGATATTGCTTATCCATTAATGGTGTTTAACTCTGCTGTTTGACAATAGTTTTTATTTGTCAACACAATTAAGGGAGGCTGGGTTGGCTATTGTCATGTATTTACTCAAAAATAGGCCCAAAACACATCAATTCTACCAGTACTAAAGTGATAAGTAGAAAGCACTATATATTTGTAGTGACTGGCTAGGTAATGTAAGCTTCCTAAAGAATGTATGCAATTTTCAAACATTAGTAAATGTTAATTGATAAATTATTTATGTGTATATATGTATAGTTATGACATTATGCAGATTTAAAAATGGATGAATAACAAAGGGAGAAAGAATGTTATGACTCATAATAAAAGTTTTGAATTAAATGTAAAATTATTAAAAATAAGCACAGCTGTTCCTTCTAACTAAATCGGAAATGAGTTGTGCCTTTCGTTAAAAGTTAGAAATCTGGTTTTGGTTGTTCAGTTTCTCTTCTGAATAACTTTTCATATTATTCCCACTTATAGATCTTATTTAATAGTTTTCAGATAGAAAATGTTATATTTTTATCATGCTTTTTAAGCATGAGAAGTCTATTATTCTTCCATTCAATACATGGTAGTTTTTCAAATTGGATGAAATTTAATCCTGGAATGACATTTGTTTTGGAAAGCAGTCTAAAAGTGAATTTTTCCTAATTCTAAATTTTAAATTGTGTGTTTCTTTGGCATAATTGGAAGTTATGTTGCCAAGTTTTGTATTTTTAGTACATTTTTGCCAAGTTTTGTATTTGAGAGAGGCTGTACATTTCAAATAATTGAATTCTTTGATGCATGGTTATTCAATTAAAATTCCCCCCCTTTATTTATAGAGTGTTTGTTGACAGTTGCAAACTACTATATAAAATAGAATCTCTCTTAGCTAGCAGTAGCAAGACCATACGAATTCCAAATAAGAGATTTTTCTAGATAATTGAATATATATTTCTAAAACTTGTGTTCATAATTTGTAATGCCATTGAAAATGCTGTATTGCAGTCAAATTTTTATTGTAATTGTAGTAATTTTTTATTCTGTCAGCCTTTATTAAATAAATAATGTCAAAAGTCATACAGATTTTTTAATTAAAAACTGTGTACATGCTTTATATTTCAGAAAAATAAATTTTAAAGAACATTTCTAAATTATTATGCCTGCTTAAGAGATTGTTGCTGAAGATTTAAAAGTTCATTGGGTATAAAATGAAGCTTCACAACAACATGTATAGCCAAAAACCTTATATATTAACCTTAACTGCTTAGCAGTCCTTTATAAACTTTCTTCCACATAACTTTGCATGCTGTCTTCATCTTCAACGTAATCATCTTTTCGATTCTTTTGTCATTATCTTGACAAAGTGTGTTAAGAACAACAGAATTGTCTACATCTGTCCAAGCCAATCTTCTAAGGAACACTATCTTTTAAATGCATGTATCAATGCATAAAAAGAGATTGGTAGCTCTTATTTATATTCTGGATAATTGATTGTTTGGACAAGACTTGTTACATTGGGCAGTAGAAGCATAACATGAATATTTTCCACATTTAAGTCCTTAGATTGTTACCTTATGGCATATTTATCTCATAGGCTTAAATTTTTGATTTAAATTTTGACCTTTAAATGTGCTGTTATTTTGATAGTGCCAGTTAATTGGATGCTGTTTATGAGAGATTTTACTGTAGATATGATCATTATTTAAAAAAGAAATAAAAAAAACATGTTCTGAGAAAAATCTTTAAAAAAAAGTGTTTTTCATACATTTTCCTGGTAAGATAATTAATTTTGTTAGAATCAATTAGTTACATCTAATTTTTTATCAAATAATACTTTTTTTTAGTCCCCTCCTGATGGTTTATCTTTCTAATCATTAAAACATATAACTCTGGTAATTCCTGTTTTGAGACATTTTATATTTATATGTCATTCCTATGAATTAATTAATTTATGTTCATTAGGTGGCCGAGTTTTTAAATGCTCCTTCTGTGATTCGTTTCTCTGTGAAGATGATCAATTTGAACATCAAGCTAGCTGTCAGTTCTTGGAATCAGAAACTCTCAAATGTAAATATATTTTGCCTTTGAATTTAAATTCAGCTGAAAATAACTGATAATTATTACTTAAAAAATATTATAATGTTTTATATTTGGGTTTGATTTTGAATATTTCAGATTGGAAATTTTATTTTATTTTTATGCTGGGTCTCAAAACATATGCATTCAATAGATATTATTAATCCTTAAAGTGTTTATGACTTTTGCAAAATGAGAGCAGTTTATTTCTTTCTGCATAATGATATTTGTCTGTTTGAAACTGGAAAAACAGTCTTTACCTGTTGGTGTGAAAGCTTATGATATTTTCATGCATGTTGGGCTAGAAATTGACTTTTTCTGCTGAACTATGCTGCCAAATAAATTTTTCTTGAGGAATGAATACAGCAAAAGTCATGAATTAATCATACAAAGGGAGAGTTTAGTGTGGTTTCTTATCATGCAATGCTAATTTAATCATCAAAGGCAGAATAATTCACAGTGTTCTATAACAAACCTTCAAGTAACTGCTTGAAATATTCTGCAGGGGATAAATCATGAATTTTCTCAATCACAAGTTTCTTAGAAAACTGCATTATATATTTTTAAGTTTTGTAAATTATGCATGCATTATGTATGTATGTGCATGTAGAGTACCTTTTTTATTGAGGGGAGTACATGTCCCCATAAACATATTTTGAATCTTAGGCAAGAAAGTAAATATGTATATATATATGTTTCCCAAACCAAAAAATAAATAGTTATTTGTTATATTTTATGTAGCATAGCATATGTCATCAATAAAGAAGTTGGGTTTCATTTAAAGTGACTAGATGCACTGTCCATGGGAAAGAAATATCCTTGAGCATTGAACATGCCACTGAGATTGCTGGCTTAATCAATGATTGTTGGAGACAAACAAAAACAAATCTCTTCTAAGCCACTTGGAATATATAATTGTAATTGAATGCAGTGATTGGTCAGTCTTGTTGGTATCCTTGATGGTAGCAATGAGTGTGTATATTGTTGTTTTATATTTCTCAAAGAATGCAAATTTCATATCTACCACAACTGTTTGATTTTGTGAATGTATTACTAAGAGGGACAAGACTGGCAATATTGATAGCAATAGTTTTCATTACTAACAATCCATATGAAGTTATGACTCCTGCCTCCAAGTGCATACTTGGAGGCTACCAGTTACTCATGATGTAACTGGTAGCACATCTGGGGCAACCAAAAGTTCTGTAGTTCGAATCCTAGAAAGGATATAGCTGATTTTTCATGTTTCTCTCTTGTGCTCAACTAAAATCTGGTGAACAATAATTTATTTTCACTTGAAATTTTACTACCAGGGTTCATTTCTTTCTTCATGTTCACTCTTTAATTGGGTGAGAATATATGGAATATTCCCTGCTCCCATGCATATTTTTATGGTGTAACATGTAGCATTTCTTGCTAGTAATTAGAAGATTCATGGGTTTGAATCTTAATGACGGGTGATGTAGCTGATTTTACATGTTTCTCATTCTGAAATACCTAATAGTTATACATGTCTTCGGACATTACTCCCATGGTGTTTCCTGAGTAGCAAATAACAAGTGTTTAAGCCCCTTGGAGGACCAGCATGTGAAGAATGAAGCACAGCCATGGGACTGAACCCCCTGAAATGGAACACCACCACCGGCCCACCCATTTTCAGCAGTTAAGCCTACTTTTACAAAAAAAAAAAAAAAAAAAATCATAGAAAATCAGCATTTTAATATAATGACTTCAATTTTTGAAGTTACGTACGTAATATACTAATTATTAATGTGCATTAATATAAAGAATATCACATTAATAGAAATAAATGAAACATGCAAAATTCTAAAATTATAACTATAAGCATGAAAACAAAATTGCAAATACGAAATGTAAACGAAAATTAAGCAATAATTATCAGTAGGTAATTAAATTCCAATTTAATAATTCTGCTGTTTGTGGAATAATTCAAAATGAGAATCGACACACAGCACAATGGCGATTTTTTTGCCGAGCAATTAAGATGCATCATGCATCGGGAAAGCTGATATCTTTCTCCTTCTGTAATAATGCTGTAAAGTTACTTTTTAATTAACCAAGAAAGTCTATTTTAAGTTTTAAAATAAATATAAAAAAGGACAACTGGTCTCTGAGATTTTCATCACGGAAGTTTGCCGACATTATAGCCGCTATAGTCAGCTAGATGCGTTTTCCTACATTCTCAAAAATAATAATAATAATAATAATAATAATATAATAATAATAATAATAAAATAAAAATATAAATTAATAAATAAACAAATAAAATAAAAAATAAATTAATTAAATTAAAATAATAATAAATCAATAAAATAAATAAAATAAAAATAAAGGAAAAAGAAATCATAGAGCTGGATTTATGTTCCCTACATTCTAATAACAAAAAATGCAAAGAATAAAAACGATGACAACAAAAAAGTTAAATTCCTAACGAAATGAACAAACACGCCGGTGTCGATTTAACTTGTGAGCTGTGATTTCCGGTTTGTTTACACCAATAAATCTATCAAAACCAGAAGCACAGAACAGAAACTAATGCTTACACATGAAGGTCAAAGCCACACGACTTAACCAATATGAAAACCGTTACCATTTAGTCCCATCTACTGGGATTTAAAAATTCAAATAAATCGTTCCACATTCAACTTAATTTTTCAAAATGATTTTTGGTCCTTAAAAGTCCTTAATTTTGGCCAAAATGAATAAACGGTCCTTAATTTTGCTCATTTGACATTTCTTATTATTTCTAATGATTGCCATTCTATGTGTAAATTGCGATTTCTCATGAATATGGAATTAAAATTACACGGCTCTTAACCAATCTGTTGGCGGATTTGCGTTGCAAACGATTAAAAAAAAAAAAAAAAAAAAAAAAAAAAAAAAACCAATTAGCTACCCGAACGAAAGTATCGGTGTCTGATTGGCTATTCACCCAATCTTTTGAAACAGGTGTTATCCATAAATTTAGGCAGATTGTGACGAAAGCGTGAAGCCGGAAGTTCTTTAAGAGGCGAAAAGTGATGATGAAGGTGCTCGAGAAAAAAAAAGGGGGGGGATTCTGAAAATATTTGCCAAAATTAGAGCAATTCCCAACCTGGAAGGCCACAACCCTTCCGACGCCAATAGGAACGAGATGCCTGGAAAGTGCATTTTCAATAAACTGTGGCTTCATCAAGCTGACTACAAAGACTGGATATTGATGGATGACAATCCTTATAAAGCTAAATGTGGTCTTTGTCTGAAACAAATTGAAATTTCTAGAATGGGAGAGTCAGCGCTGAAAATTCACATGAAAATTAAGTTTCGTTTTATCATTTCAATTTGTTTTTACACGGTTTTGCTTAGCTTAATTTCTGTGTTTGTTTCAATTAAGCCATAAATTAATTTTTTATCACCTTCTACGGAGTTTATTCTCTTTTGCACATACTATATGTATGGGATATCGGGATTATGAGTTTATTTCTGCAGAGGGTCTGTTATCGATTTCGCGGGAAATCTGTTGGCTCCATTTCGATTTTAGGTCGCCAAGGGCAAATTCGGTAACGCTAGCCGAGAAAAAGTGAAGTTCGGAAATACGTTTTGAAGCTTCAATAGACAATTAAGTATTTGGTTTAAACCTATGTTTTTGATAGTAATGCATTATTTTTGCTAATGGCGATACAATTATTAGTTTGAAAAAACTAACTAATTAAAAATTTTTTAATATTTTTAAAGCTGAAAAACAACTAATTGAAACTAATTTTCCTGAATTAACTAGACGCAAAATTAACTTTCATGAATTACTAAAGTTATTGGGTAGAAGTTTAACTGAAATATACATTCCTATATATATATATATATATTATACAGTACAAAAGTCCGAACTCGTCGGGACTTCGGCGATCCCAGATTTGAGATTTTTCCGGATATTAGATCATTTTAAATCTACTAAGATGGCACGTAGAAATTATAAAATTGAAAATATGAAATCGTGATTTATGAAATAATGAAGCATTTATGATTTAAAGGGTATCAAAATTTACAAAAGAAAAGAGCTTAATATTTATATGTTTACTTTATTAAACATTTCTTTCAATGTGAGTTGTTTGATTTGTTTTCTCTGCTAATACTTTAGACTAATACTATAGACATATAATTTCTTGTTCAGTTATTAAGTTCCATTGTTCAAGTCCTGTAATTGCTGTGTCGAGAATTCCGAATAACTTGTCAATCAAAATTTTTTCTCGTTCAGTAACCTCTCTGTTACTTTCTTCACTATCGGTAGCTGTATTTTCTGGATTTAGAACCATACTACAGATTTCGCCCTCCGTTAATTGATTGATGATTGGGCATTGTCATTCGCAATGAAAAACTTCTGTTTAACTTCGCTAAATTCTGCCGCCTGGTGCGGCCATGCGAGCTCTGGCGCTGGTTCTGGCTTTATGTGAATAACAAATCAGTTATTCTTAATTCAAATAGCACTAAATATAATCGTTTGTCCTATGAGTATCATTAACAAAATCTATTTTTAGCATAAGGAAAGAAATTTCTGTTAAATCTCCCCTTGTCAACATTTTAGCGCATTAAACTTAAATCTGTAATCGGATAATACTCTGTTATTTGGCATCGCTGCATGATTCATCACTCAAGTTGTCATTCCGTTGATAAACATGCGGTGATGAAAGCAAAATACAATAAATAATGATTCGCGATTTCGGCATCAAGGATATAAAATATTAGTTGGTGTAAAATTAACAAATGTTTCGGTTTGAGATTATGCCAAGCAGATACGCAGCTATGGAGTCAAGTTACTAATCACACAAATTTATGCTAAAATAATTATTTCTTCAATAATGAGATATTTTATTTAGCACCAAACTGAGATTAAGAATCGGATTTCCGGCATGTTTTTTTTATGATGAGGAAAAAATCTAATGCGCATGCGTAAAGCATACCCCTTCCCTCCAAAAAAGCCCTAAAAAATTGGTTGG